ACACTGCGGGAAGTACTTGTCATAGAAAATTTCTAGAAATTTCACCCAATCAACATCTCTATGATTTTCTCTCATTAACATCCACCATCTTCTTACCTCGTCTTCTAGCATAAAAGTGGCTAGAAGCACTTTCTATGTCTCCGAGCAGGGGAACACTTCAAACAATTTCTCAATGCCGAGAACCCATGCTTCGCTTTCAACGAATCTAATCCACCATGAAACTGTTGTGGTCTCATTTCCTTGAATTCTTTGGTGAGAGCTATTATCCGATCATCATTCTGATTATCTGGCACGGGTGGTGCCGGAGGTGGAGGTGGCGGATGTGGTTGCTGCCACTGTTGTTGCCACTCCTGTTGCTGTCTCAAAGTTTCTGCCATTTCCTGTATCAGTCTTTCCATTCTGTTCACTCTGGCAGTAGGGGATTCCTCTATCTCATCACCTCTTGTTCTCACCATCTGATTAAACTTGCATTATACTTTACAAAAAGATGCACAAGTATGCATATACTAGAAAGCATACATATTCAAACAATTTCAATGCAAGAAATTCTTAATTTATAGCACATAATCATTCATATCAAAATAGTTAAGCATATTCTCGATGCTTCTGAGTTCATATTTATCACATGAATGCATCCTAGATCTTTTCTAGACGCTTACTGCTTTTTTGGACAAGTGTGTGAGTTATTAACTCGTGCTCTGATACCACTCTGTCATGACCCGAACCTGCCCCCATGGGTTAAGGACATAACCGGCCCGTAATCATGAGATTACCTACGGCCTCAAACCAGAACAAATGTATTTTTAACAGAGTTAATGGGGGCCAAAGGGAAGCAGTTCAAAACTTTGTCCATAAAGTTGTGCTTACATGGCACATCCAAACAACCAAACATATATATACATTAATAACTCACAACAGAAATACAGTAGCATAAGTTCTGTACAAACAGGATCATCCAAAAACTAAGTCAACTCATGAAAACTATATACAGACATATCCAAAGTCCTCGCCATCATGACAAAAATAACATGGCATAGCAGAAAGGCGAAGACGAGTCTCGTGCGTGAGACACTACGGCTGACTCTCCAAAACTCGGTTGTTCCACACAGACTTCACTGGGGCTGGGGCTGGACCTCTTTTGGCTCACCTACAAATACATAAATGAGCGTGAGCAATAACCCAGTGAATAATATCAAATAAGAAGATACAAACGATATGTAGAACAACATACTCCGAACGGCCTTGGGCCCAATTCACATTTTTATTTAACATTTATATACACAATTTAAGTCAAGTGACTGTGGTTTCAAACATACTGGCCTTTGGCCCATTTATCTTTCATTCCTGTCAAAACGGCCTCTGGCCCACTCATTTATGTCAAAGCGGCCTCTGGCCCATCCATTCCTGTGAAAACGGCCTTTGGCCCATCCATTCATGTCAAAACGGCCATCATTCATGTCAAAACAGCCTTTGGCCCATCCATTCATGTCAAAACGGCCTTTGGCCCATCCATTCATGTTAAAATGGCCTTTGACCCATCCATTCTTTCTTGTCAACACGGCCTTTGGCCCATCCATTCTTTCTTGTCAAAACGGCCTCTGGCCCATTCATTCTTTCTTGTCAAAACGGCCTCTAGCCCATTCATTCTTTCTTATCAAAATGGCCTCTGGCCCATTCATTCTTATTAGACATTTGTCCACAATTCAAACTAGCAAATCATAAGGCATAAGGCTTATAAGAAAATAAGTAATTAGACAAACAATAAGTTTCCTAATATCGTTATTACTCACAGTGATCGGTTGGTTGGTTTGCCCTGGAGCTTGACCCTACACAGTCCATGAACACAAAAGGGTCACCGACAATTTAATCCGTTATTAAATTCACATTTTCCCCTTTAGGCTTTATTCTCATCTCTTTAACTCAATTACAATGCTAAATGCATGCCTAAGAGTACTTGGAAGTGAAGGAGAACAGAAAACGAAACACAGAACGCAGGAACAAAATTTCAGAAAATAGGGTCCCCGCTCGAGCGTGGGATTCCTCGCTCGAGCGGACCCTTGAGGCCTGCAAAAGTACTGGTTATGTGAAATTTACGCTCGAGCGTGAATTTTGATGCTCGAGTGGAAGGCCACGCTACATGGCTCCCCGCTCGAGCGTGAACTTTCCCGCTCGAGCAGAAGCCAAGTCTGCAAAAATATGCTGGGAGCTCGTATTTTACACTCGAGCGGCGGATTCCCCGCTCGAGCGGACACCATGAATTCTGGGTTTTCCAGAATGTGTTCTTGAGCTCAAATCCGACCTTCCAATGTTCAAAACCCATAAATTTGGTTCCAAAACTTGCAAACACATTATATAATATGAGCATATAAGCAAGGTGAGGTCAATTGCTCAAAATCAGGGTCCAATTCATGCAAATTAATCTACATTTCTTTGTAAACTCAAGGCTCATACATTCAAACTTTACACAAGCTTCATATCTTCCATAATCAAACATACATGTCAATTTTTGACCTCATTTCCATTTTAAATGGCACCAATGATGCTCATAAACATGAAAATCAATAAAACCATGCTTGCATGTATACTTCAATGCTCAATTATTCACAATTCACACATTACATGCTAGATTATGCAATTTCATAGGAATTATATACATGCATGCATACTTTGACCTTCAATTCAACAAAAACAACTCAATTCCTATTCAATCCTTACTTTTGATCATTATTCAACTTTGAATACACAAAATTACACATCAAACTCATGGATTCACTTATCTCGAGGCTTAATTCACCCAATCTATAGCAAATTCTTGAGTAATCTTCCAAAATCTCCAAGCCTCAAGACCAAAATCTTAATCTCCTACACTCTCTCTCTCTCTCTAAGCCAACCCTCTCTTCCTTTCTTAGAGTTTATGATCAGTCCAAATGAAGCTAAGGAGAGAAATTGAGTGTATAAAGGCCCCCACTCAACACATTATTTTATTATAAAATAATTGGGCACCTAATTCATTAATTTAATCAACTTAATCTGGTTCGAATCGATTTCCAATTAAATTTCACCGTAGGCTCTAAAAATTATGCCAATCACAATGGCGTAATCGATTTCGGGTTCTGTGGTCAATAAGGCCTTCAATTTAATTTCCAAAACAGATGGTCAAACAGATATTCCTACGGTGAACAGATAAAAATTCAAAACCACATATTTTCACATAATGGCACACAAAATTGTATTTAACACATAATCATACTCATATTAAGGACCAATTAACATATTACGGAACAAGGGTATCACATAAATAGAGGAACGTCAGCCAAAAAGATGGAGGTGAGAACTATTGAGCTTAACCTAGAATACAAGTAATCTTGAGTGCAAAAACTAACTTGCTCGCCGGAGTGCTAATTCCGGCACCCCTGACTGGAGTGTTTATCTCTTTTCAGGTGACTAGAAGAGGATCATAGCATCTCCCAGGATCAGAAGAGTATTTCCAAAACCACTTCTCCACACTCAAAGTGATGAAATGTCCCACTTTCCTTGGTCACCATCACCCTTCATCATGCATGATAGGGTGATGATTTTTTTTTAGTCTTGTTTTGCACTCATTAAACTTGTACAAACTTGGTTCTTTGGCCATCATGCATGGAAATTTCTTCATTGGTGGTTTGTGAGCCAAGAGTTTCACTCCTTTGAGCTTGTGCGATGATAAGGAGTGTAAAGGTACACAAACAAATGAGAATACACTATTTTGCTCTGTCTGCTTTCTGTTATAGCAAAAAGAGGAGTTCATGTCATCAGTGGCCGACCAGCCACCACCAATAGCCAACCGGCCACCATTAGTAGCCGACATGCCCTCTGTCGGCCACCAATGAAAATTGCACAGTGTGTTGGTAAGGTGGGGTAGAGGTATTCTAGGAGTTAGTAGCACTGTTGTTGTTCAAATGTGCAAACAGAGGTGTTCAATGGCAAGGCAGTGGCTTTTTCGGGTAGAGAAACCGAGCACGCATGCATCCCTCGCTTCCCTGAGGCCATTTAATTGCTTTGTTTAGTTAATTAGTGGTAGCTAATTAATTAGTTTAATTACTTTGTACTTAAATTAGCTTAGTATTTACCTAATTACTTCGATTTGTAATATTTAATTAGCTTAGAATAAATAAGTTAATTCGTTTCAATTGTTGTAATAATTAGTTAGCTTAATTAGCATAGCTAGTTAGCTTATTTATTCGGACCCTCCTTCACGAGGGCGTAATGTTGTAATAAGTGTATGTGTGTGTGTGTATGTCTTCCAACCCCATAGCTTTCTCCCTTTTATTTAATCGCTTTCACTGGTTAGATTAGGAACATTTTCAATTAGCATACCCTATGCTTGCATGTTTGCATCCATTCATTTGTCTTGCATGCACCGAGGCTCGACGCATCGTTCAAACTGTAATGCACTTTCGATACTTCTCTGAATTCGTGTAATCGCATGTTGTTCAAATCGATTTGTATGCCATATAGTAGCTGAGCCTATTAATTACATATTGCATGTGTTGCATTAGACACTTAACGTAGTTAGGATCATGCATTTTTCTAACTAATTTCTGTTTTGGCTTGCAGTACTCGGTGAGTTTTATGCTTTAGCATACTTGCATGAGTGTGATTGCCATATTGCCATGATTCGCATGCTTGCCATGAGGCTATGTGCTTGCTTGCTTAACTGCATGAATGCCTATGGATGAAGGCTTCTTGTTTGACTTGGAACGATTCAACGAATGTATGTTTTAAGCCTACTGTCACGCCCAGAACTCGCCCCTAAAAGTTTGGGCATGACCACCTCAGAAAAAAAAGACATAAAGCCTGATGAATATAATCTATGGGGCCTGAACGGAAGCATTTAATAGTATATAATAGCGTAAAATAATAATAATAGTAATAATAATAAAAAACATATCCATTGAGCTACCATTACTATGCCAGGATCCCAAACAAAACATAATGCAAATAATATACATTGTCATGCACCCGAAGATAGCTATGTACATATACATATACGCCGATCTTAACAGACAATTAGGGTACAAATTAAAACTTAGCAAAACTCCATAACTTGAACAATCAACATCTAATAGCTTTGATACTCAGGGTTTGACAACTGGGTAACAAAAGCCACAGGTGCAGGTTAAATCTCCAGGTTGAGTGCCTACAGAAACAGACATAACAGAGGGTGAGCCAGGCTCAGTGAATAGTATGAAACATAAATGCACAATTTAAACATAATACATAACAATGCATAAATAAATGCGAAGATCATGTAGTTAATCTGTTCCTATTTTCATTTCATATGGCCTTAAGCCCAATCCTGCAACATAAACATGATGGATATAGAGCCTTTGAAACATGGTGGCACGAGGCCCTTGAAACGTGTGGCACGAGGCCCTTGTAACTTGTGGCATAAAGCCCTTGTAACATATGGCACTAAGGCCCTTGAAACTTGTTGGCGTTAAAGCCCTTGAAAATGGCCTAAAGCCCTTGTAACATATGGCACTAAGGCCCTTGAAACTTGTTGGCGTTAAAGCCCTTGAAAATGGCGTAAAGCCCTTTGTAACATATGGCACTAAGGCCCTTGAAACTTGTTGGCGTTAAAGCCCTTGAAAATGGCATAAAGCCCTTGTAACATATGGCACTAAGGTGAAAGTGGCATGAAGCCCTTGTAAACATATTGGCATTAAAGCCCTTGAAAATGGCATAAAACCCTTGAAAGTGGCATGAAGCCCTTGTAAACATATTGGCATTAAAGCCCTTGAAAATGGCATAAAACCCTTGAAAGTGGCATGAAGCCCTTGTAAACATATTGGCATTAAAGCCCTTGAAAATGGCATAAAACCCTTGAAAGTGGCATGAAGCCCTTGTAAACATATTGGCATTAAAGCCCTTGAAAATGGCATAAAACCCTTGAAAGTGGCATGAAGCCCTTGTAAACATATTGGCATTAAAGCCCTTGAAAATGGCATAAAACCCTTGAAAAAAATAACTTCCAATTCACATGGAGTCACATAACTTTCCAATTTTTATAGTATTCGTAGAACACTTACAAAGAACAGAGCATTAGTGACAATAATTATCAACAATAAATAACATGTACATTTTTGTACTACTACTCACAGTGTTCAGGTGCGTAGTCCGTCCTTGTAGCTAATCCTACACAAGTCACGTAATTCAAACATAATTCATCATAGTACAACATCATTTAGTTCATTAATCCTATTGGCAATTCAACATAATACAAAATAAACCCTTGAATCTCATTTTAACATTCCAAAAATCGAGTTCATGTCATCCATATCCTTATTAAATTATTCTCCTAATTTTTCTTTTCCATGATAGCATGAATTTCAACATTTATAACAAGGTTCATTCGCAAATTGTAAATATAATTTCCAAATATTCTCAAATTCCAATTAAACTTGAACACATCTAATTCAATATCTCAATTTCATTACTCTACTTTCAATTTGGGCCAATTCATTGGTTATCATCTTTAAACAACCTAGGGTTTCAAGGAAAAAGAGGATTTTTAACAAAAATCAAACTTCTTAAATCATCACTCCTAATTTCAATTTTCCAAATGATTTTACATCTAGTATTCTCAATCCATCACTTAAACCCATCAATTTAATTCCCAACATCACAAACCTTAAAACCCCCCAATGTTCAAACCCAAAATTCCCAAAATCTCATAATTTCTTCTATATACATAACATTAATGAAAATTGAACCATTATACAATGAAAATACCTCAAATCTATCTATGGATGTAAATATTGAAGAGTATTAAAACCCTTACCTCAAGAATCAAACAAAGGAGCAAGGATTGAGAAGAATCCTCCAAAATCTCGAAATTCCAACCGGTAGAACATAATAATCTTCATGCTTCTTCACTTTTTGATGGATGATCTTGATCAAAACTAAGAGAAATGGAAGGTTTTGGAGATTAAGGACCTAGGGTTTTCGGACCTAGGGGAGAGGGATGAAGAGGGGAAAGGAAAATGTGAGAAATGATCCAAAAAATCTCATTTTAAGCTGCTGTCCCGTAATTCCCGCTCGAGCGGAGGAATTCCCGCTCGAGCGTACCTGTTTTCAGCACAGATTTCGAAACTTTGAACAGGTATAACTCTCCCATCCGGACTCCGTTTTAGGTCGTTCTTGTGTCCAAATTGAAGCTCCGGAAATAAGCTTTCCAATGGTTCTAACCCAACATCCAAATTCAAAGTGTAGAAAAAGAAAATGACAAAAGAGTGACGGCTGGTCGCAGACAATTTATTCTAATTAAAGCTTTTGGTCCAATCTTACTTTACCAACATATTACCACCTCAAACAATACTCCAAAATAAAATAAGAAGATTCTAAATACACCACTACAATGTCAAGGGAAATCTTACTTCTCACGCTCGAGCGTCGCTTCAACCGCTCGAGCGCGCACAGACCAATAAAGCAGTCCGCTCGAGCGTCAACTTCTCCGCTCGAGCGGAGATTCACCACTCCCAGAATCTCAGGCCATCTGCAAAATTGCTGAGAACCCCAAAAGTCCGCTCGAGCGGAGGGAAAAATTCTGGGTCGTCACACCTACTTTGTTGTGGAAAAATCATGTTTTAAGCCCACTATGTTTGGTGGCAAAATCCACATCTTTAAGCCCACTCGAGGGTGGCGAATTCAAACCATTTTCGCAAACAAACATGAGTTGAATTGTTCCAAGTCTTGCGACTAGTCTATACTTGCTTGTGCGCATCACATAGTAAAACTAGTTTAATAATCGGAACAAAAGGACATAATGTTTATAAAACTACACATCATGATTAGTAGAGGCCGATCTTTGATCGGGCGAGCAGGAGGTGCTCAGTACAAGACCTTTCCCTCTTGTACCTAAGTTCCTGAGCCGAGGCAACTTTGGTGATGACGGACACGTGGCATTTGGCATGAGTCAGGGTTTCCTAAATTTCCCCAAAACAAAATATTTAGGTGGTTACTCTGTAATCTGGCAAAACAGTCCAATTTTGACACTATTTGATTTAAAAATCGATTTTCCAAAAAGGTTTCCCAGATTTTGACTCTTTGGTGATTATTAGTTTCACATTGCACTTTGTGAGATTAGATTCAGAACCGTGGAAGTCCGAACTGTGAGGCCTTCTTTACAAACCTTTTTCGAAAGGCGGAGTGCAGAAAAAGGCGAGTCCACGGGGCCATAAAACACGGATCTCTATCCGAAAAAATCGTCACTAGGACCCCGTGCAACCTCACTATGTTTCGAATATACAAGTCGTCAACGAAATCTACTGAGTCACACACATTCGTAGGTATAAAATGCGCCGACTTGGTCAATGAGTCAACTACCACCCAAATGGAATCACTACCCCGTTGAGTCCTCGGAAGGCCCACAACAAAATCCATCATGACATGCTCCCGTTTTCACTTGGCCATAGGCAAGGGTTGGAACAAACTCGCTAGCCTTTGATGTTTGGCCTTCACTTGTTGGCAAATAAGGCACCTCGACACAAATACCGCCACATCCTTCTTCATACCCCTCCACCAAAACTAGCGACTGAGGTCATGATACATCTTTGTTCCTCCTGGATGCACCACAAGGCGTGAATGATGAAACTCTCGAAGTACTTCCTATCAACAAGGCTTTGATACGAATAAACGGTTACGGTATGTCGCTCAGGTCGGGATCCACATTCAAGCCTCTTTCTGCCTTCCCATTGGAGATCTTCTCCCAGAGGGATTCTATCTCAAGGTCACCCTCCTGTGCTTCTATCACTCGGCTCACAAGTGCGGGCTACGCAACCATCGAAAACAAAGCGTATAGCAATCTTGGTTTTGAACTGACACTTGTGGTAGTCTGGACTCGGGTTTCATGGTTCAATGTTGATGTTCATATCTTATTCCCCTTGTTGTTCCTTGGATTGACCATTTAGATTGTAGTTGTGTGTTTGGAACAGGTCAGTTGCTTGTTTTTCTAAACCTTTGTTAACAGGATTTTCGCTCCGCTACTCGAGCATCCATTTTCATGCTCGAGCGAGTTTTGTAATTCTGCTTCTCCGCTCAAGTGACAATTCTTTCTCTCGAGCGAGATTTGCAAACTCTCAATGTTTTCTTTTGCAGACCTGCAAATACTGGATGAGTTTATTCTACATTCAAGCGGTGTTTCCTACGCTCGAGCGAGTGGATGCATGAGCATGCAATCTTGCGCTTGAGCGATATCCTTCGTCTGCAAAACTTCTGAAAGTGTGTATTCTACACTCGAGCATCACTGCTTACGCTCGAGAGGAACATTGTGTCTTACGCTCGAGCGTCACTTTCCACGGTCGAGCGAATTGCGTATATAACAGTCAATGAAGATGATCTTTTTCATCACTTTTTTCATTCCTCCCTCTCTGAAAATTTCCAACAAACCTGGATCTTGAGTTTCTCTCTACAAATCATCTTTTCTCTACTATTTCATTTAGATCTGTTGAGGTCTTCACCCAAGTGCCTTTGAGAAAAGGGCAGAGCACGTCAATAACTACATTTTGATCCGAATCATCTTTGGTTTCGACATCTTCGGAGTTTCTCCACTTCTCCTTTGGTCTCCTAACTTCGAGGTAGGGCTCTCTACACACCTTAATATGGGTGTTAACTTGGTTATAGGTTGTTGTGTGAAAATTGTGAGATTTGGGGGTGTTTTGAGTAAACCTTGGGCTTGGGTTCAAGTTTGAAAAGAGGGGTTTCTATGTGGGTGGTATATAAATGGTTATGGGGTTTGGATATGAGGTCATCGCACATTAAAATAGTTGATTTTGGTCTTTGGGTTAATATTTAGAAAAATTGGGAGCATTGCCCTAAAATGTCCTGAATAACTATTTTGTATAAATAATGAAATTGGTATGGAAAAATGTGAAATTGGGAGGTTATATACATGAATGGTGTTGTTGGATTTGTTTAATCACTCACCTATGGAAATTTGATAATTTATCTGTTATAGAGATTGTATATCTGTTTAGAAATATCTGTTTTAGGCTATTGGTGGAGGATAGTCGTGATTGTTGTAGACATTGCATGAGAATTAGGTAAATTGAAACTAATCTATTGTTCATTGTCATTGAATATGACTATGTTTAAATACATTGTATATGTATGATTTTTGGAAGGAGAAAGGGGATGTATTCTATTGTTTTGAAGGAGATAGGGAATGGACTCCATAGAAAATTAAGTTGGCCGGAGTGTCCAAGGTGAAAGTCCCAAAATCTTGTGTATACATGGGTGTCGATTCCCGCGGACGAAATTTCCTTAAAATGGCAACTAAAAGTGAATGTATTTGTATGATGATTTTATCTATTGGAAACTTGTGAGGTGTAACCTCTGTTGATGGGTTAAATGCAGTGGATGTACCTATTGAGCCAAAATGAATGAATTGAAATGCGAGTTTGGTATAACACGGTTTTGGAAAGAGTTATAAAGATTTTTGTAGGACTGTAGACGCCCCATTTTTGACCGTCCTCAAGACTTGGACGTCACCGTTTGAGCACCCGGTGATCATCCATGTTTGTGTTCGTCTTGAGTTCCCGGAGGTCTCGGCTTGCGCGCCTTACCTCAGGATCTCTCGAATCGACTGTTTAGTGTCTGGTTTTGCACCAAACACTTGTGTTTTGCCTTGGAGGGGCAGTGAATGCCTTGTAAGGCATCCCCACACATCACCGGCCATGGCCAGAGGCCACCGGCTGGTGTTTTGTTACCATCGGCAATATATATTGCCGGTCGGCATTCTTTGTTGCCGGTCGGTAGTCCATTTTGTCAAAATGGCATTTTTGAGCAGCCGACTACTGTTCATCTGCTTTTGCAGATATTTTAATACAGCTGTATGGCATTTTGTTCCCCTCCATACACGTGTATGGAGGGATGGCTTCCTTGTTAGCTTACCTTGTAAGCTTTACAAGATTGGCTCCTCTATAAGAGGAGCCCTCCTCTCTTGGCTTTAGGGTTAGCCATTTTAGAGACAAAAAATACAGAGGAGATCTCTGGTTCTAGGGTTAGTATAGTTATAGCTATTCTATCTCTCTTTTCCTCTCTTTTGTGTCCTAGGTGTGTTTGTCCATACTATTGCACACAAACACATAGTGTTACACCTTTGCTTGATTCTTGAAGGATCAGAGGTTGTTCTTGGTGTTCTTGGGTGGTTTTGAGCTTGAAGAACCAGCTGGTCCACCATTTTTGAGGAAGGTCTTCAAGGGTAAGAAACTAGTCCTTTTATTCCCCATTTTTGCATACTACTTTTGCCCATCTCAGAACTATTTTTGAGCTTAGTGTATTATATGCCCCCTTTGCATTTTGGCTTGTTGGCCTTAAGTGTGTGAGTGTGTAGCATGCATTACTTGCCTTATGTTGATGGTTTGGCACCATTTATGGCATCATTTCAGTCCCCTTTGCGTGCTTGTATGCTCGTCTTGAATGCCCCTTTGATGCCTTATGAGCTTGTGTGGTATGCTCCTTGAAAGTGCATTTGTGTATGCTTTTGAATTCAAGCCATTTAGATGCCATCTAAGTGGTCTTTTGGGCCATGTTTTATGCGCTAAAACTCTATTTTCGGCCATTAAATTCATGCCATGTTTGGTCTTGCTAAGTGTAGTTCAGTACTTCATTAGCTTACCTTGAATGCTTGGGCCATTTGTTGCATGTTTAGCCTATCTTGTTTGCTTGGTTTGGCACCATGTTCTCGCATGATTTTCAGATCTTAATGCATGTCATTTGTCCATGTTTGCACCCTCTTGAGTGTGCTCGAGAATTGCTCTTTAATGATTAAGTGTTGGTCCTTGTGTGCATGCATGTTTGCATGTCATTTAGCCCTCATTTTATAGCACTTTGGCCACTGTTTTAGGCCTAGTTAGGACTGCCCAAATCATGTTTAAGTCCATGCCTTTGTTTGTTGCATGTACTCCTTGTATGTTGTAGCATATTGGTAAGTTGTTGCATAATTGAACTTGCATGATTGAATGAAGT